ACAAATATATACAATTGATTCGTATAAACTGCGATAAACTGCGGCAGGCGGTATGTCCGTAATTGCTCATAGTTTGGTGCCCGAGAAGCTGCTAGACCATCGTAAGAAGAGGTGACTCTTCACAAGACAAGGATTCCACTCATTCAACGGGGATTCTAGCCCAGGTGCCACAAGTTACATCTCCAGATCTTTGTTTCTCGATTCCACAAACTGCCATAAAAGAGAATATCTATTTGACTAGCATGAAGGAGCCATCGATGATTTGTTCAACCAATTACCCGAAATTCACTCTTTCAAACGTAGAAGAAACGCCTGATTTCAATGCTTTGCACAATTTTTTCACAAAAAGAGTAGCCCTTTCCGGCGGTTGATGTCCTCTTTGGTCGGAGGTGTTCGACGGCTGACAACCTACGGTGGCGCATCAAGGCTGAAATTTCAGAGACCTGGTTGCGCACAGAAGGTGTAGGATGCCGTTTCAGAAAAGGCAAATAAAACTTCTGTTGGCAGATATGATGCACGTATGCTATGTGAGAACATGTTTTGGCAGTATAGATGTTGCAGACAGATGTAAAACATGGGATGATTGGGGTGATGATCTGCATGGTCCAATTGCCCAACATGTTTTGTGATTGGAGCCAGAGGTCCTGCCACTGCCATGCAAAGATTGAAGTTGCCAAATAGAAGGATTGAATCAATGAGCAATTACCGTGCTGGAATCGAACGTGGCATGCTGGAAGATTCACCATTCATAGAGGTTTCCATTGCCACTCTTAATTACCAGAGGGCAACAATGGGGGATGTCCACGGGGTAAAAATCTATGTTCCCTTCACCAAGACCAAAGAAGCAAAAGGTAAACATGCAGGAGGAGGTGGATTGACACATCGAACTATTGGGCAAAGAACAAGAATTGGTGACGTGACCAAGAAACGTAGGTCTGTGATCCAAGGGATCAAACACGGCATTTTTTAACCTCAAAAGCTGGGGACGGAGCTGGGCCTTCATCAGCTTGAGATGTTTTTCTTGCCACAAAACTGGACAGGCAACAGGTTGGGATTTCATACATCAGCAGAATAAACTACTTACCATTTTCTGTCAGATAGAATCACCATTTTCCTAACAGAGCCATCAGTGGATGCATCCCCAGTGGCCCAGATGCTTCAGGGCTACTGCTTTCAATCATCATAACTAAGTCTGTCCCAAAGGCACAAAGGCCCTAAGGAAAAATAGGAAAACAACATGGGATGACAATGATATATATATATATATAGTCCATTATAATCCCATTTCCTAACATTTGTAAATCCTCTCTTAAACCACGACTGCTATTGTTTTTGTTGGGAGCTGTTCAAGATGGAACCTCCGACAATCAAACCTTTCCCAGCCACGGTTGATTTTCCCACCACTCTGACGGCTGGGAAATCCACCAAGAAATGCAAACTGTTTGATGGTGCGTGTTTGCTAGGCTAAGCCTGAATGGGCGTTGCTGGAAATCCCACGTAAATCCTAACGTAAATCCTGAATGTCCGTGTTATTGATGAATTTATATTTCTGTATAAATAAGTCATACAGATATCCATGCTAACATTTTCCTCCACTTTCCCCAAGACTGTTGACAATGACCCGGACGCAGGTATGAGATGGTAACTAAATATACAAGCACCACAACAACCATGGAGCATATAGGTAAAATACTTTTGAATCTTTGGTCCCGCTTCCATTGGATTTTTCCCAGTTGGGGGAAGATGACTCGCACTTTTTTCCGTGCTTCGCCAGATGCCGACGAGATCAGTGACGACGAGGATCAATCCGGTGAATGGATTCATCAACAGTATGGGGATGGGGTGTAATATGTGGAATGATGCCTATGGGATATGGGATGACTTTGGCGATTCACGTGAATTTGCGATTTTGCTGTGAAGATTTCGGACCTTTAACAGGTTTTGAGCCAAAAAAACATCCCCAAAACAAGGAAACAGGTCATAGATGAACTCTTGAACATTTCATGTTGATTTGCCACGCTCCAGGCTGCACGGAATACCAGTAGTACCGCACTTCCGCAGTGGCGGAAGTTTCAAAAATAGGACACTTATTAGGAGAGGTGAGCTGTTGTGAATCACGGATGGCAGAGCGAATCCACTGATGGACCGAAAGGTGGTTGGAGTTGTGTTTTTTGGAACGGTTGCAATGGTTGCAGTGGTAACCTCACCCACAACTGCTGGATGTAGTGTGGTGTAGTGCAGCTGTAGTTGTAGTTGTAGTGTAGTGGAGTTGTAGTCGTAGCGTAGTGTCATTAGTGTAGTGTAGTTGCAGTTGTAGTTGTAGTTGTAGTTGTAGTTGTAGTTGTGGTGTGGTGTAATTGGTGTAGTGTATTGTAGTGTACTGTAGTGTTGTGTACTGTAGTGTGGTATAGTGTAGTGTAGTCTAGTATAGTCTAGTTTAAAGTAGTGTAGTTATAGCGGTAGTGTAGGGTAGTGTAATTAGTGCATTGTAATTAGTGTGGTGAAGCGTAGTGCAATGTAGTGGTAGTTGTAGTTGTGGTTGCAGTTGTAGTTTTAGTTTTAAGTGTAGTTGCGGCGAAATGTAATTAATTAATGCAGTGTAGTGTTGCGTTGTGTAGTTGCAGCTGTGGTAGTAGTAGTTGTAGTTGCAGTTGTAGTGTAATTAGTGTAGTGTAGTGTAATTAGATGTAATTAGCGTAGTGTAGTGTAATTAGTGTAGCGACATGTAGCGTAGTATATTTGTATTTGTATTTGTATTTGTAGTAGTAGCAGTAGTAGTAGCAGTAGTAGTAGCAGCAGCAGTAGTAGTGTAGTGGTAGTGGTAGTTGTCGTTTTAGTTGTAGTTGTCTATCTACCTATCTGTCTATCTGCAAGTTTGAAAAAGCAGCCATTGTGCGAGACTTCCTCAATTTTTGAACTTGACAACATCAAAAACGCAGCAATTGTGCGAGACGTCCTCAATTTTTTGAACTTGACAACGTCAAAAACAAAAGAATTCTGCGAGACTTCCTCAATTTTGGAAGTTGCCAACATCAAAAACGAAGCAATTGTGCGAGACTTCCTTCAAAAATTAAGAATTTAAAGCAAAGGTGCCGGCCTCGTACCATTGCGTTTTGCGATTTTTCCATTCCATCTGTTTAAAGTATTGCACCTGCCACGAAAAAGTGAGGCCAGGTCATACGAAGTGCTGCACCTGTCACGCAGAATCATCTTAGCAAACCTGAAGATCTAACGCATCAAAATGCAACCCCTCTCAGGAAATCTCTGCCCTGACGTCCTAACATCTCTGGTGAACATGTCTCTTGTATTGCGCCTGCCACGCGAAATGCATCTTTGCAGATCCTCTTCAAATGCTCCACGCCTGCCAACACTTTTGAAACTGCTGCAAAACCCTCACGTTTTTACTCACTTTTGACAAGGTGCACAGTCCCTTGCCCCTGCCACGCAAAACAACATCTGAACGTCCAAAAGTGGTCCAAACATGTGGTGTTTTTAACATTTTGACTTGGAAATGTGCTTTGCGCCACAACGGCGTGCACTTTTTCAATATCTCAACTTCCAAAAGTGGTCCCAGGACGGGTGCTTTGTACATTTTGACTTGGAAATGTGCTTCGTGCCACAACGGCGTGCACTTTTCAACATCTCAACATCCAAAAGTGGTCCGGAGTCCGAGCATGGTGTGTTTTGTACATTTTGAGTTGGAAATTTGCTTCGCGCCACAACGGCCTGCACTTTTTCGACATGTCAACTTCCAAAAGTGGTCCGGGCATGGTGTGTTTTGTACATTTTGACTTCGAAATGTGCTTCGCGCCAAAACGGCGTGCAATTTTTCATCTCTCATCTGGCCAGATGGCTCCGCACCTGCCGCTTTAGCGAGCCTACTTTTCGACCCTCCGGGGCCACAAATCATTGGAAAAACATAGTGTTTCGCGACTTTCCTACCTTTTCGCGCACCTGCATCTTCTTTCTTCTGACTCTTTCTCTTCTCTGATCTTCTTTCTTCTCTTCTCTTCTCTTCTCTGGCTCTTCCCACCTCTGCTTTTTCATCTGTCCATATTGTCGGAAGTTTGACTTTTAAACTTCCTTCGATCAAACAAAACATATTCAACCATCAAACAGTGACGGAGTTTTCGAGGTGTCCAGTTCCAGGAATGTCAGAGGTGTCTGAGTCTTGGGACAGCTTGTTCTTCAGCGGATAGGTCCTTGTCATCATCCCCTTTTTGGGACAAAGTCCCCGATGCATAAATCGCTGAGTTGTTCAATTGGGATAGAATGTTTGCAGATCATCACTTTTTCAAACACAGAGACATAGCCTAATTACATCATCATCCAGGCTTTTATATGGTTTATATGGCCTATAGCGTGTATATCGTGTGTATATACGGTATATATGTACCGCCCTAATTGCACGGCAAGACCATGAGCTTTGTCCGGACTCTCGATGGGCCTCTGGATGCTGCTGCTGCTGCTGATGATGATGATTATGTTTAACCACAAACCCTAAACGCTAGACCCCAACCCCAAACCTCATGTAGACCCTAATAGATCTAATTTGGGGCCTTGGGGCTTGGGCAAAGCTCGTGGTTCCGAAGTCATGGGGGTACCCCCACATCATCCATTTCTAGACAGGATTTTCCATGAAATAACCATCTATTTTGGGGTACCCCCATTTGTTGAGATCCCCTTATAGCATCCAGGGCTTGTATGAAAATTCCCAATAACCTGACCACATCGTCGATGCAGGACGATCTGGACAGTCTCTCAGAATCTGATGATGGAAAGGCGATGAAAGGCGGCCGAGTCAGCGCCGAGGAAACCAAAGACCTCCAAACTTCCTCTTGGGATCAAACCATTTGTCAACAGTGTTGGTATTTCAGGGGCAGTTTCAGTTGTGATCAATCGCAATATCTCGCAATCTTCCATGAAGCTGAACATGTTGCCAGCTGTGCCGCCGTGATGTTTTTGATCAAACCTGCGAAGACTCGAAGAACTTTCCCGTAAGCGCCATCGCTCTCCGAAGAGCCGAAAACTCTGCCGCAGCCGAGTCGACCCATGTCGTTCACCATTCCCATCATCGCAGCCTGCCAGGCAGGTATCGGCTTGGGCCCTTCGAACCATTCGAGCCATTCGAGCCGCGAAGATGCAGGCCCTGCCATGAATCTGCAGGTGAGTATAAGTATTCCCATCAAGGAGCAAGTCGCAGAAGTCGCAGACTCATGTTCCGGGGTTGTTCAAATGTGTTAAATCGTTGGATTTTTGATTCCGGGAGCTTTGTCTTCCAGAGCTGTTTTGCAACGTTGATCTCAAAATGCAAGGAGAACTGGAGTACCAAATCCGAGCAGTGGTTCGTGTATGTTCCTTTTACTGTTACTCATCAACGAGGGCCCCTAAAAAGAAAATCCTAATCCTAAGCAACTCTGGCAGCTGTTGTTAGAACATGGCAACTGTAACATGTTGCAACCCAGTTACCGGGGATAACCCCCGAAATGTTCACAGGAACCACGAGGCATCTGGAGCCCATTGTAGGTAAAAAGACCAACAACTTGGTCCATGAACCCGTTGATTGTATTTGGTTCATCATTAAATCTTAAATTTGTCCTATTAGATCCTATTAGCATCCCCCAATTAACAAAGACCCTGAACATACTTGTAGTCAATTTTTAATGGAAACAAATCTTCCAGCCCCCAAGTCATGGCGTCTATCAGAGCTTCTGAAAAGGTCAAGTGGCATGGTTCACCCCAATGAAACTGGTTGGTGGTTTGGAACATGAAATTTATTTTTCCATATATTGGGAAGAATCATCCCAACTGACGAACTCATATTTTTTTCAGAGGGGTTGAAACCACCAACCAGTATAATATGATATCATCAGATATGCTATAATATCCAGTAGTGTTGTATATGTGGGTTGCTTAAAGTTCCAATGTTTGTTGGTCAAATCCCGACTGACGTCGTGAGTTGCATCCCTATTTTCAATCAGCCAAATTCACGTTTTTGTTGGTCAGGTTGTTAGAATCCTGATGTTTGATGATTTCTGTGGGTTATTCTCCAGACACGTCTCTCTTTGCAGGATCTTTTAGAGGCTTTCACTCTCTTCGGAGATGCAGTAGCGTCGCCTCCAGTTCCGCGCAAACAGGTGTGGAGATCCAAGGTTGTGGTTGTCTCTGGATGTCTCTGGTTATTTAATATAAACCCTTTAAATATCTTAAAATAGCAAATTTTTACTGGAAACGAATCTTCCAAGCCACGAATGTGTCTTTTGGGGAGTATAAATCTCTGGTGACATTCCAAAATTCATGGAAGCTGCTTCTCCGTTGAAAAACCACTGATATGTGTCGAAACTTAAACATCATAAAGCGGGCTTTATTTGTCAGGACTTGCCTTTTGTGCGCGACTGCACGTTTCAGGAAGTATATTTTTCAGTATCCGGAAAACCAGATCTAATTGGTGGGTGTCAACCATCGAAATTAGGAATATCACCTTGCCAATTTTCCTGGGAATATCATGGGAAGATATCGCGCAGCGAAGGCTGTTTGGTGGTTTCAATGGGGAAAAATATATATATATATATATTTGCCATTAAAGGGGCCCCAACATGCTGGATGGTCCCTTGATCTAGATGGATTGATTGTCATGAGCCGAAAAAGATTGGAATGATCTAGATCCTCATCATTTCAGTTCGATTGCAAGGACAGTCTCTGTTTTTACATAACGCGATTCCCGTACCTCCAACTTCATTGCCCAAACCACCTCAACCAAGCCCATACCAGTAGCTCCGTCGTGCTAGTATCTTAAGCTTACGTATCTTTACCAAGAAATTTAAGATTGCCCCACGAACATGTCCACAAAGGAGAGTTTCATATACCAGCAGCAGGGGCATGACTCGGCATGCTCCCATTACCCCCAGGGGCCCACCAATGTCTGGTGGCGCAGGTGACGCTTTCACCCCCTTCGGCGTCCGCTTCATCGCCGAAGACAGTGGTCCCTTTGCGGCGACAGAATGGACCTCTGGGACCGGAACTTGGCACGTTTGGCACGCCCGCAACTTGGGAATCTGTGCCGATCATGGGCAGGGTCGGCCCCAGTTCCGGTAGGCCTAGCGGACCTCAACCGAACTTGGGAAGATACTTGGTGCATATGTCCAACTTGTCCAAAAGGATCAGCAAGTATCACGGAGTACAGCTACAGAAGCTCTTCACGGAGCAGGTGGGACCCGTGGAGTGTCAGATGGAAAAGGGCAGTGCCACGATGGCATTCAGTGCCTTGGGCTTGGTACCCCTGCTGGTTGATGACTGGTTTGGGGGTATGAGTTATACTACCCAATATACTGGAGATGATGATAATTATAATGCAAATTAATATATAAATATATTGTGCACATATATATATCTAATGCAGAATGCATATTAGAGCATTCTACATACAATATCAATCAACATTATAATTTGCAATAATATATATTATATTACATTATAGTATGTTATATTATATTATATTATATTATATTATACTCTTTTCTATTATATTATATCATATCATATTATATTATATTATATTATATATATTCTATTCTATTCTAATTCTATTCTATTCTATTCTATTCTATTCTAATTCTATTCTATTCTATTCTATTCTATTCTATTCTATTATATCATATCATATTAAATTATATTATATTTTAGTATATGAGATTATATATATTTTATTTGGTGTATGATAGCTATATATATTATATAATATATTATATTATATTTTATATTATATATTAGATTATATATTATACTATATATTAAATTATACATTATATTATATATTATATTATATTATAAATATAATATAAAGTATCTTTTATATTATTTTATTTATTATATATTATATATTATATATACTATATTTTTATTGTATATAATATATCATATTATATATTATATCTTAAATCATATATATTATATCTTTTAGTTTAAATATATATATTATATTTTATATCTTAAATCTTATCTTATATATATATTTTTAAATATATTATATATTTTTGAGTATATGAATATATAATAATATGATTATATTATATTATATTTTATTAAATTATAGTATATTATAGTATATCATGTTATATATGCACACTATATTTAATATATTTTATTTTATATTATACATATATTTTTTTTATTATATTATATATTATATATTCTTTATTGTATTATAGTTTTTTCTTGAACCAGCTATATTATAGATTATATCTTAAATCCTATTTTTTTTTTATCTTTTATATAAATTTATTTTATATCTTTAGTCTTAAATATTATATATTATATGATTTTATGATCATATGATTATATCATATTATATTATATCATATTATATTATATTATTTTGTATTATTTCAAAATATACTATATTATATTTTATTAATATTATATTATATCATATTTTGTTTTATTATTTTATATCATATCATATCATATTTTGTTATATCATATTGTATTATATTATATTATATTACAACATATTATAACATATTATATTATATTATACTATATTATATTCTATTCTATTCTATTCTGTTCTATTATATTATATCATATCATTTTATATTATATTATATTATATTACATTATATATATTCTATTATATTCTATTCTTTTATATTATATATATTCTATTTTTTAAAATTATATATATTCGATTTTATTCTTTTCCATTATATCATATCATACTATATTATATTATATTTTATTATGTTATGTTATGTTATGTTTTATTTTATTATATTAGACTATATTATATTATATTATATTATATTATATGGTATTATATTATTTTTTCATTATATATCATTATATTATGTTATGGAATGTTTTTTATAATGATGATTATACAAATCCCTTTCTTAACCAACCAGGATGAAATGTAGCATTTCGGGTGTTGAACAGTGCTGGCAAATCCACCATTGGCAACACAGCAAGGTACCCAGGAACAGGCCGATGAGGCAGTGAACAAGTACAACGGCGGCATCTTGGAGCTCACGGCATCCAAGGGGAAAGAAGCAGCGAGTTCAGCGGAAGCGGGGTCTTTGGCCCTGTTTTCATACAGTCGAAGTCTCACATTAGTGGAAGATCGTCTAGGTCCGCTCTCAAATTGCGGCCTGGTGAGGGGGGAGGGATGGGTCACAGTCTTTCGCAATGCCATGGCCTCTGAGTTGAAGAATCATCGAGGTGAAGGTGCAGTGGAGTGGAAAGGAAGCTTCATCAAAGTCTGCCACCTCCAGGAGAGGCCCTTGTAGGTGCGGCCTAAGGCCGGCCAGGGTCTAGCGAAACGAGTGGCTGCCGTGGTCCTTTTGCCCGAGTATGGATCGACCAAATTCAACCAATTCTGTGGATTGGGAAGACATAGTTCGCCCAATCCCTTTTTTTAACTGTGGATAGCGGATAGAGGATGATGTTCATGGACAATTTCGCAGATGTTTCGCTTATTGGTTGGGCAAAAACTGGGCACGGCTCGTGACTAACATCTCCCCTGGGATACTCGGGGTACCAGCATCTTGAGGATATGATCCTTAAAGCTGGGATCAGCGGTGACATATAGGTCCTGCACTTGACCGAGACATACCGACACGCGCCACAGTTGAAAAGCAGGCTGCGTACCTGAGCAAATGCTGAAGTTGAGAACTTGGAAAATAGATGGATGACTGGATGACTATCAAATACTATCAATCTATCAATAGACTGAGGAAATTATATTACCCTCTGGTAATTTAACGTAGCTATTGAAAATGGCCATTAATAGTTGATTTTCCCATTAAAAAGGGTGATTTTCCATAGCTACGTTAAATTACCAGAGGGTAAATGATAGTCTAGTGAAAATATAAGCTAATCTTCGTTTTCCAGCCACTCCGAGTTCGAGGAGTTTGACGGAACCCAGAAATCTTCTGCCGGAACTCATGGCGTCTGTGGATTTCTGGCAAATCACCCTTCTGACTCAATCTTACCAGTAAATTCACATAGAAAAAACCCACATGGTCCAAGGATGTCCAAGGAAAATGATCAACATATCTGGTGGTTTGTCCATGTCGATCTGAATTTATTGGAGGGACAGCCAGGATATCTGGCCCTGGATATCGCAGCCAGGCAACAGTTGGAGGTGCCGGGGGGACCTTTTTTTTTTTTTTTCGAAGACGTTGTTTCAACGCGCGGAAACACCATCGGTGGCAATGTACGGTGATTTAACCAGCAAGAATGGTGAGTAATCGGTGGGTTTACTCCCGATGGCCATTAAAGTGGGGAAAAGATGATGGACCAGAGGCGGTTGGAGACCCAGGTAAGGCAAGCGTAATTCAAAAGAGGCTCTTTGTATATGTACACTACATATATACACAGATACATTGTGCGATACACGTAATTTACCACACATGTACAATTGTACATATCTATATATATATATACATAGAATCAATTATGAATGTTCATTAAGAAATATCTATAAACATATAAACACAAATAGGACTATGAATATAGAAATGAATAGACATGAATATATACAGTTTGTTTATACAGTAATGGTGTTCAATATTGGTATAACCGATATAACATCTTTTATCATTGCCGTGAACATCGCCCCAGTCCGCCTCGGGCGCCGGCGCCGACGTCGACATCTTCGCGGCCGCGGCAGGCGGAGTACTCTCCATATTTCAGGTTAGTGCATTCCAATTTGCCCAGATTATGGGAATATTGATGGATGTTCATGGATTAACATGGATGATCGAATTTGATGGATTTTGGTTTCACGGATTTTTGGATATTTTTTCTACGTCCTCGAAAATTAGATGATTCAGAAGTGAAGTGCGCAAAAGTGCAGATCTAAAACGCGGCCCCGAAGATCTGTGAAATACCATCCCATCAACGGGGGCTATTCCAACTAGAATGGTCCCAGTTTCTGTTATCAAAACACACATAACATGTTCAAGAGGAAAAAAAGACCGTCTCATTGTTTTTCTGATGATTTTCCCACACTTTGAATGGCAACTTGAGTGAACAAATGGTTGTGACCAAGATCATGAAAGCGTTTTAATTCGTCCTCTGGCGGTCTGCGCGGTGCAGATCGGGGATTTTATTTGACAGATTAAGCTCTGGTAAATTAACGGAACTATGGGAACCATGGCCTATTTAGTTCGATAGCTTTTTAAAAATGATTTTTCCATAGCTATGTAAGCGTTTACCGGAGGGTACTAGTATGAAAGAATGTGAAAGATACCCTCCAGTAAATGTTTACATAGATATGGAATTCCATTGGTTTCCCTGGAACATGTTCTACACATGTTCCTTTTTTTCCCCCTTATCTAGTGAGGGTATGACATTCCTTGAGCAAGAACAGAACCCCCAACCAGTCGTCACCGGGGATTTGGCAGCGCCGTAGCTTCAAGGCTAAGGTGGTTTGATAAGCCTCACGCAGGTGGACTGGCACAGGAGTGTCTTTCGTACACTGTCTGCTGCCAACTGCAAACTGGCCCCCAGTCGGAAGAGCTTCAAACAGTCAAAGAATATATATATATATAAATAAATATGAATAATAGGATATGATTTGATATGCTGAGTATATGATAGTATATGAATGTGTATATATATATATACATATCCGTATTTTAAATACATACATATATATCATATACATGTAAATGTATACATATACATATACATCTACATATACATATACATATGCAAATACATATACATATACATATACCTGCATACACATATATGTAAATATACTGTATATATATATGATACATGTTACATACATAGGTGTGAAATTGACCTTTGTACATGCAAAGCTTTGTAGAATTCACAGCAGCGCAAGATTTGTTCCAGCCATGGAGGGCCAGCTGGGAGCTTCAGTGATGCAGTGGTGCGTGGTGCAAAGAGATGGGTAGAGATGGGTAGAGATGGGTAGAACATTCTCTTCTACCCGAAGATTCAGCTGATTATCCACCGTAAAATGGGGAAAATCAATGAAAATCAATGAAAATCAATGAACATCAATGAAAATCAATGAACATCAATGAACATCAATGAAAATCAATGAAAATCAATGAAAATCAATGAAAATCAATGAAAATCAATGAAAATCAATGAAAATCAATGAAAATCAATGAAAATCAATGAAAATCAATGAAAATCAATGAACATCAATGAAAATCAATGAAAATCAATGAAAATCAATGAAAATCAATGAACATCAATGAAAATCAATGAACATCAATGAAAATCAATGAACATCAATGAAAATCAATGAAAATCAATGAAAATCAATGAAAATCAATGAACATCAATGAAAATCAATGAACATCAATGAAAATCAATGAACATCAATGAAAATCAATGAACATCAATGAAAATCAATGAAAATCAATGAACATCAATGAAAATCAATGAACATCAATGAAAATCAATGAAAATCAATGAAAATCAATGATGAAATCAATGAAAATCAATGAACATCAATGAAAATCAATGAACATCAATGAAAATCAATGAACATCAATGAAAATCAATGAACATCAATGAAAATCAATGAAAATCATGGATAATCAATGAAAATCAATGAACATCAATGAAAATCAATGAAAATCAATGAAAATCATGGATAATCAATGAAAATCAATGAACATCAATGAAAATCAATGAAAATCAATGAAAATCATGGATAATCAATGAAAATCAATGAACATCAATGAAAATCAATGAAAATCAATGAAAATCATGGATAATCAATGAAAATCAATGAACATCAATGAAAATCAATGAAAATCAATGAAAATCAATGAAAATCAATGAAAATCAATGAACATCAATGAAAATCAATGAACATCAATGAAAATCAATGAACATCAATGAAAATCAATGAAAATCAATGAAAATCAATGAAAATCAATGAAAATCAATGAACATCAATGAAAATCAATGAACATCAATGAAAATCAATGAAAATCAATGAACATCAATGAAAATCAATGAACATCAATGAAAATCAATGAAAATCAATGAACATCAATGAAAATCAATGAAAATCAATGAAAATCAATGAACATCAATGAAAATCAATGAACATCAATGAAAATCAATGAAAATCAATGAACATCAATGAAAATCAATGAACATCAATGAAAATCAATGAAAATCAATGAACATCAATGAAAATCAATGAACATCAATGAAAATCAATGAAAATCAATGAACATCAATGAAAATCAATGAACATCAATGAAAATCAATGAAAATCAATGAACATCAATGAAAATCAATGAACATCAATGAAAATCAATGAAAATCAATGAACATCAATGAAAATCAATGAACATCAATGAAAATCAATGAAAATCAATGAAAATCAATGAAAATCAATGAACATCAATGAAAATCAATGAACATCAATGAAAATCAATGAAAATCAATGAACATCAATGAAAATCAATGAACATCAATGAAAATCAATGAAAATCAATGAAAATCAATGAAAATCAATGAACATCAATGAAAATCAATGAACATCAATGAAAATCAATGAACATCAATGAAAATCAATGAAAATCAATGAAAATCAATGAAAATCAATGAACATCAATGAAAATCAATGAA